CCAGATTATTCCAGTACGCCTTTGATGGTGCTATTGTTTTATTACTGGTCACATGTGTTTGGCAGCGCGAACATAAAAGTAATGTTGTTTTTGAAGACAGTTCTGCAGGTAGATATCCTAATACAGCTGTGTTGTAACGTACAGTATGAATTTGGTTAGGATATCAATGCTTCGTGCAAATGTCACAAACGTGTATACACGATGTGTTAATGGCATTTTCAAACGCTTGTACATGATTTTCAGCTCTGCGTTGCTGTGCACGCTCACGTTGGTTATTTAACCTGTCGTGGCGTTGCTCAGGTGTTTCTGAAGCTTCTAACTCCTTTCGTCTCTCACGCCGTCCTGTTAACCTGGCCTCATGTTGCTCAGGTGTTTCTGACGCTAATAGCTCTATTTGTCTGTTACGTTGTAATCTTAGCCTGGACTCATGACGCTCAAGTGTTTCTGACGCTATTAGCTCTCTTCGTCTGTCACGTTGTGATGCTAGCCTAGACTCATGACGCTCAGATGTTTCTGATGCTAACAACTCTCTTTGTCTGTCACGTTGTGATGCTAGCCTGGACTCATGACGCTCGGGTGTTTCTGACGCTATTAGCTCTCTTCGTCTGTCACGTTGTGATGCTAGCCTGCACTCATGACGCTCAGGTGTTTCTGACTCTACCAGCTGCCTTTGTCTCTCACGTTGTGCTATTAACCTGGTATCATGTTGCTCAGGTGTTTCTGTTGCTAACCGTTCTCTTCGTTTCTGTAGTCAACTGTGGGTTTCATTTTCACTTTCCTTTGCACGTTTCGTTCTATACTTTTCTTTTGCCTTTTCGAGCCTTCTTTTTCGTTGTGTAGCAGTTTCGTTTTTATTTTTGTTTGCTTTTTTATTTATTGTTACCATGTTGTTCCCACGATTAAGGGGCATTTTGACGGTCGACCCCGCCAGAAGTCCAGCAAAGGGGCAAGGCTTAATATACAACAAGATGCGCCCAATCTTGAGGGGGAAGCGCTGACGACATTACATTTTTACCCACCCTAATGCCATACAGTCCTCGGCACGTTTTAACCTATTACCTTAACTTGGGTGGTATAGCTACCGCTTACTAACGAGGTATCTAATTACCTATTTTTTTTTATCTGCCCCTCTAACGTCACACAATCTTGGACGCAACTGTTCTCGACACGACTAATCATGCCCCCACCTAATACGCCATTTTGTAACTTGTAACACCTAATACGAAATTTTGACATAATGACAGTATTCTGCTAGTGTAGTCCTATTATTTGATACCCATATTGTGGTGGTTGTGGAAAAATATGTACCTAGTCCGCCATATTGGAACGGCGTCCATCTTGAATTTTAAATTTTGACATAATCATCGTGTTTTACTAGTGTAGCCCTTTCATTTGATACCCATATTGAGGGGTTTAAGGAAAAATATGTAATCCGCCATTTTGTATCGGCGGCCATCTTAGATTTATAATGTCATTGATTTTATTATATTGTATTGTCATCTAAATTAAATGTGTGTACCAAATTTCAGATCAATCTGACAACGGGAAGGTGCTTAAATTTCAATTTCTAATTTTGACCCAAATAAATAAAAAACAAATTCCGTACAGGTCGAGCTAAATAAAACCGTTTAAAAAAAAAAAAAACAAAACGGGGCTTGTGGAGAGTATTAAGCGGTAGGCAGCGGCTTGGCTCTGCCCCTGGCATTGCTGAAGTCCATGGGCGACGGTAACCACTCACCATCAGGTGGGCCGTATGCTCGTCTGCCTACAAGGGCAATAAAAAAAAACACCCGCGTAAGTCATGACGGGCCTTATGCAAGTTTTGTAAAGTGTCACCTTGTTCTGAACAGACAGTTTACTCCGCTACTGTCTATGCGCTAACTAGGTGTCGTACGATAGGAACGTTCATCTATAAAACTCCTGCTTTAAAATGAAACAAAATCATGATTAGACTAAATTCATTTAGACTTAGTTTTAAATCAATAATTCCGTAACAGTTAATCAATTGTGGTTTATTAACCTCGGAGATCAAAGATACGTCCGACCGCCGGCTGATTTGTTTATACATCGTGTTTCTTTTCTAGTTAACGTGTAATCATCCTAGTTTTATTTTTGATTTAATTATCGGATTAGAACGCCGAAAGAAATGTTAAACTATTTTAATGTACTTTCTAGCTTACTGCATTTTTTTTTGTTTCGATTAATCTATAATTCCACGCAAGTATCATTTGAGTCGTCTATTATCAAAGGTGGCAATCTGTGCATTTGGACAAAAAAAATTTATTGATATGTCAATACAGATTGATTTGAATATAATCGTCTCCTTCAAAGAATACGGTTCAAAACCTGCATTAAATAAAGGTTAATAGTTAACCTGTTATTTATGTAAGATGTCGTTCCGAAGAGTTTTGTGACTGCCAATGGAATACAAAGTCAATAATTCGTTTTTCTGATTTACCAATCATTGTCCAAAAGTCAGATTGCCGCCTTTGATAATAGTCGACTCATTTATCCTAATTTCGAAGATTCTTTTGCCTTGGCTAATTTATTTGTAAAATGCGCGCAAAGATTTATCAAGTCTGTCGTCGTCGTGGCCTAAAGGACTTATCCGTTAACGGTGCATTCATATCTAGCGATGCAACGGTGTTCAAATCCCACAGGCGGGTACCAAATTTTCTAATGAAATACATATTTAACAATGTTCACGATTGACTTCCACGTTGAAGGAATAACGTTGTGTAATAAAAAAGTTAATGCAATGCAATGGTAGTTGATAAATGTAGCCTTTCACCTGTGTAACGTTATGTAGTATAAGTGGAGACACTTTCTAGCAACTAATTTTATAGCATTTCATGCCATATGCCAAGCATCGTGGCAAAAAGAACCAGTTATTAGGAATAGTACAACTGTAATTATTTTAAATAATTTATTAATTAGCAAAAACAACCAAAAGAGACAATATTACAATTTTCTTTTCTTTTGATCAAGTCGAAATGTTGTTTTTGGTCAATTGTAAATTTTGACACTATTGTTCTTAATTGGCGAACACGAGCAAGTAAAATGAATAACAGGTAGAAAAATATTTATATTCGAAACCATTTCAATTAAATATATAAAAAACCATGTTTCACATAGATAGATATAAAAACTACACAACCATATTTTATCTATCATTATGTGGTTCCGAAAGCTTGGGAGTCTAACTAGTCAGGTCATAAGTATTGTCACACAGTAAAAACTTTTCTTTTAGAATGCTGGCCACAAAAAAGTTTATTGAATTCGAATTTCGAATTGTTCATGGAAATAAAAATGTATACTTTTAGAATTTTACTCATTTTTAAATATGGAGTGGACGCTTAAAGAAGACCGTGTTGCAGTTATTGCGTTGCATCGTTGCGGTTACGCGCCAATTCAAATTTTTAACATACTGAAAAAATTGAATATAACCAAAAGATCCGTTTATCGTACCATCAAACGATACAATGAAGACTCTAGTGTAGATGACAGGTCAAGAAGTGGTCGCCCTCGGTCTGTTAGGACTCCAGCAGTGATAAAAGCTGTGAAGGTGCGAATCCAAAGAAATCTCAAACGTAAGCAGAAACTGTTGGCCCTTCAGATGGGGTTAAGCAGAACCACGGTGAAAAGGGTGTTAAATGAAGACTTAGGGCTTCGGGCATATCGAAGAAAAACAGGACATCGTTTGAATGCTCGTCTAATGGACCTGAGACTGAAGAGATGCCGCGCTTTGTTGAAGCGGTACGCGGGAACAAAATATCGGGAAATTCTTTTTTCGGATGAAAAAATTTTTACCGTAGAAGAGAGCTACAACAAACAAAATGATAAGGTGTACGCACACAGTAGTAAAGAAGCGAGCAACCGTATTCCGCGTGTCCAACGAGGTCATTTTCCATCCTCGCTCATGGTATGGTTGGGAGTTTCTTATTGGGGCTTAACAGAGGTACATTTTTGTGAGAAAGGTGTAAAAACGAATGCAGTTGTGTATCAAAATACAGTCCTGACGAACCTTGTGGAACCTGTTTCTCATACCATGTTCAATAACAGGCACTGGGTATTCCAACAAGATTCGGCGCCAGCTCATAGAGCGAAGAGCACACAAGACTGGCTGGCGGCGCGTGAAATCGACTTCATCCGGCACGGAGACTGGCCCTCCTCCAGTCCAGATTTGAATCCTTTAGATTACAAGATATGGCAACACTTGGAGCAAAAGGCGTGCTCAAAGCCTCATCCCAATTTGGAGTCACTCAAGACATCCTTGATTAAGGCAGCCGCCGATATTGACATGGACCTCGTTCGTGCTGCGATAGACGACTGGCCGCGCAGATTGAAGGCCTGTATTCAAAATCACAGAGGTAATTTTGAATAAACTTTAGTGTCATAAGAATCTATGTTTTGTTAAGTTCATTTTGGTATATGAATAGTTACATAATGAATAAACTTGTTTCAATTATTTTACATTAAACATGTGACAGAATTTATGACCTGACTAGGTATTATTAGATAGCATTGTATAGCTCTTGACAATAGGGGTAAATCTAGGAAAATTAGTGTTCGCAGTTGACAACACTAGCGAATTCTAAAGGCATGATAGAACTGAAATGCTCATAAAGGTTAAATAAAAATAAATATCTTTTAAAAAAATACTTTATTACGTAAAAATGTATAATATTACATATAATATTTAACGGCCGTCTGGTGTAGTGGTAAGTGACATGGTCACTACACAAGGGGGTCGCGGGTTCGAATTCCGCCAAGGGAAGATATTTGTATGATAAATATAAATGTCTTTTCCAGGGTTATGGTTGTATATTAAAATATATGTATGTGTATAATAAAAATCTTACATTTATATCCGTTATCTGGTACCTGTAACACAAGTTCTTTACGAACTTATCACGGGACCAGTTAACGCGGCGTGATTGTTAGTAAATATTTATTTATTTATTATTTAAAAAAATAATAATAATATGTAATATTGTACATTAAGCTATGCTTAATCTCTATATTTACAAAAATGTTTTACAAATAATTACCTAATCACATTTCACGTCGACATCTTGTTTCGATAAAATAATTTAAGCCTACGTGCGATAGATGGCGTTGTACTACATTCTGATAAATGTTTACAATTTAGCTTAAAACAAGCGAGATATCGGAACCTGCGAGCGCGGGCTGCCTATACGCTCTACTATACAACAAAACTTTCCAAATTTAAAAGCTGTTGTAAATTATTTTAAAACTATCTTATTCATCATCTTATTACTAATATATTTGTACTTGGTGATATAATATTTTAGCTCCTCAGCTGCTGTAATGGTCACTTCTGCAACTTCGTCAACATGTGGCTCTGTAATAAAAAATAATTTTGTAACGATTGATATTAGAGTATTATAAACTTTATTTACTTAGTTAAAAAAAACAGCACTCGTTATTAAATTTACGTAAATTAAATTTATATTCATATTTAATCGTAAAGATTATACGAAGCAGCAAATTAAAATAGTATAATCACCTATGTCTAGGCTATAACTATAAATACAGCAGCCAATTTAGTTGGCAGTTAATTTAGTATAATAGAAAAATATAAGTTAAATATATAAATAAAATATTACCTAAATGTTGCCAAACTGAAGGCGAAAATACTGGTTGTTGTGAAAACACGTACACTACTTTAGATTCCTTTTTGAAGCATTGTTCTGTTTGACGTTCATTGCTTGTCATTTCCACGCGATACCAGAAAGCGGGTTTCCTAAAAAACAAAAAATAAAAAGATGTGTGGTGTCGTGAGACACCAGATAGGAACGAAGTTCCTTATTATAAAAACATTAATTTTAAGTTTTATTCGAGGTATAAAGAAAATAATTGGAAGTTTCGCAACAACCCACGGTCATTCGGTAGCGTGCGAACTTATTGTGGTACACTTCATTCACGGTTGTTTGCATAAGAGTTAGTGTATTGCGCGAACGAACGCTCTGAGATCGTGGTCAATGAATGATAAAAAATATGTTATTTTTTGTACGTTATTACAAAGTTAAGTCGTACACTGTGTGCATTACTAATTTGTACGTTATTACAAAGTTAAATCGTACACTGTGTGCATTACTAAAAAATCTTACGTTACGGACGTTTTTTCCCGGTTAAGGTACCCCTCCGCATCGTCCCATAAGGAGCTTCGTTCCAAAAACTCTTAATTCCTCAGTCCCATACACACCAGACACCATATCGGGTTCATAACAGGTGTTTTACTTACTTCAAATGATCTTGTACTATGTTGTTTGATATTGACATAGCAATCCTCTGCACCGGATCGCTCAGAAGCTGTCCAACTGTACGAATCGGTGATTTATCCGCAACATAATGTTCTAGAAGCTTCGATGCTACAGGCTTTAGACTTTCTGGAATTGGAAATAGGGTAAATAGTTTCAATGCGAGACAGTAATGCAATTATTTCATTGTCAAGCATTGCAAATTAAATTTTACTGCTGTTAGAGGTGGGGCAGTGTTTGTCATTAAATTTGTTTTTTTTATTGCTTAGATGGGTGGACAAGCTCACAGCTCACCTGGTGTTAAGTGGTTACTGGAGCCCATAGACATCTAAAGCGTAAATGCGCCACCCACCTTGAGATATCAGTTCTAAGGGCCCAGTATAGTTACAACGGCTGCCCCACCCTTCTTCAAACCGAAACGCATTACTGCTTCACAGCGGTGGTACCTACCCGCGCGGACTTTCAAGAGGTCCTACCACCAGTAATTACACAAATTAGAATTTTGCGGGTTTGATTTTTATTACACGGTGTTATTCCTTCACCGTGGAAGTCAATCGTGAACATTTGCTGGGTACGTATTTCATTAGAAAAATTAGTATCCGCCTGCGGGATTCGAACCCCGGTGCATCGCTCAACACGAATGCACCGGACGTCTTATCTTTTAGGCCATGACGACTTCTCAACTCACTAATATAGGACTTTCTGTGGTCTTCGCAAATCGCAGACATAATATGAGCCACAAAAGTAGCTTTTATTTATAACTTGTGTTTTTAATACGAGAAAATAGAAGTTGGATTAATGATGTTGATGAATTAAAACAATATAGTTTAAGTAATGGCCGTTTTCCAATTACAGCACAAGAGCGCATTATGCCGCATTATGCGCTCTTGTGCTGTATTTGGAACACGGCCAATATATATTGTATGTTCTACACTCGTATGGTTACTCAAAATTTCCCTTACCAAAGTCAGATCTAAGGCTGGTCTCTGCCCGATGTAAGTGTTCTAAGCAGACGTGTACTTGAGCGAACTTTGTTAGTAAATTCTTCCAAGGATTTATGTCTATTTCGTCCGTTATTAAGGGTACCTGAAAACAAATTGTGCATGTTACAATAGTGTGAGGTAATGCGGATCGTTACCAGATTCCTGCCTTCTCTGAGACCAATGATCTTAGAATAATTGTTATACCAGATATGATATGTTATACCAGAGTGTATTTAAAACTGATTTCTTGGATCAAACACTACTAAAAATTTTCAATGCTGAGCTCATTATTAATTAAGCTCATGATTTCATTATTCTACTAAACTTTTTTGGTTTGGTGAGTGAGAGAGAGAGAGAGAGAGTAAATAATAGAAATAAATCTCCCACATCGGAGAAATAATTAAAATTCATTTTAGGTAAGCTGTCTTAGGTTTAAGAGGACTCCATTAACCGCTTCATCCCTCATCTTTAGAGACGAGATTTAAGTGTCAATTGTATTCTATAACGGCTGTTTCACGCGTGACTGCTTCGTGGTAGAAATAGTTAGTGCTAGTGTTAGAATATTCCACGGGGAGTGCTCTGAGGAATTCTTTGAGATGATACCAGCATCTCGTTTTTACCATCGCACCGCCCGCCAACGGAGTAGAGTTCATCCATACTACCTGGAGCCACTGCGGTCATCGACAGTGCGTTTCCAGAGATATTTTTTGCCACGTACCATCCGGCTATCGAATGAGCTCCCCTCCACGGTGTTTCCCGAGTGCTATGACATGTCCTTCTTCAAACGAGGAAAGTACTTAACGGTAGGCAGCGGCTTGGCTATATCCCTGGCATTGCTGAAGTCAAAGGGCGACGGTGACCACTCAACAACAAAAAAACCTAGCTGTAAGGGCTTACAATTTGCTCCACCGCCAGTGGCATTAGGCATTTTCAATCTTTCACTGTGGAAATTGTTCGTGAATATTCAAACACCGGCACAGTCGCGTCATTCGATACGAGAACACCGGACAACTTATCCTATAAACCAAGATGCTTTTATCAAAACTACCTTTTTTTATTTCTTAGATGGGTGGACGAGCTCACAGCCCACCCGATGTTAAGTGGTTACTGGAGCCCATGGACATCATCATCATCACTATCCTGCCCTTCTCCCAGTCCCCTGGGGTCGGCGCAACATGTTTTCTCCTTCCATACTCTTCTATCATATACCATTTCTTCGCACACTCCCCTCTTACCCATATCGTCTTTCACGCAATCCATCCATTTCTTCTTGGGTTAACCTCTTCCTCTATATCCTTCCACATTCATAGTTAACACTCTCTTACCAACCTCATTTTCATTTCGTCTCATCACATGTCCATACCATCCCAAACGTGCACTCCTCAGCGTCTCTGTCACCGGTGAAATTTACGACGTAAATGCGCCACCCACCTTGAGATATTAGTTCTAAGGTCTCAAGTATAATTACAACAGCCGCCCCGCCCTTCAACCGAAACGCGTTACTGCTTCACTGCAGAAAGAGGCATAGTGGTGGTGCCTACCCGCACGGACTCACAAGAGCTCCTACCACCAGTTAGAACCTCGTACCTCATTAACGTCCTTCTTGTCGCTGACGAGACCGTGCTTCTTCAGGGACGCGAAATCATCGACGGTCAATTCGTTGGCATCGTCAACGTAGAACGAGTCCGCGTCTAGTCGTATCGAGTTCTCTCCGGCGCTGAGACTCTCGAACGGGTTGAGGGTGAAATCGCCACCGCTCATCGTCATGTCTTGTATCGTTTGGTTGATCTGCTCTATTGACTCGTGGCTCCTGTCGAACAAAACTTTAGTATTAGTATAGTTTTTTACTGGTGGTAGGACCTCTTGTGAGTCCGCGCGGGTGGGTACCACCACCACCACCTATTTCTGCCGTGAAGAAGTAATGCGTTTCGATTTGAAGGGTGGGGCAGCCGTTGTAACTATACTTGAGACTTTAGAACTTTTAACTCAAGGTGGGTGGCGCATTCACGTCGTAGATGTCTATGGGCTCCAGTAACCATTTACCACCAAGTGAGCTGTGAGCTTGCCACCCATCTAATCATCCTTAATTAGCCCACGGACGTCCATTGCTGGATATAGAGGACAGGATCTCCAGCGTCAGTAGGTCGTGGATCCACCTGATAAGGTCCATTGTGAGAGAGCACGTCTGACGGTAGTAAGACGTCTACAAAAATGACAATTTTTAAGGTATATTATGAGCCTTAATAGATGTTAAAACATGTTTCATAAATTAACTAAGACTTTTTTTAAGGTTTAATTATTATTATTATTATTACATTATTATTTCTGAAGTTTTATGTTCGTCAAAATCTGAATAGTATGGACTATAGATTATAAGCAATAAGAAAAGTTTGACAATAAACAAATTGTGTGTGTGTGTGTGTAATGTTTTATTTATTTATTAATTTAATGTTTTTTTTATGCATTCTGCACTCCTTCTCCATATTCTCTAGAAGTGTGGGAAATTTCATACTCCTCCATCTGTGCAATTTTCGTAAAAAGGGGTACAACATTTTTGCTTCATGTATCAATATATAGATTGTTTGTTGCATGCTACAAGATTAATAATGATTTATGTATATTCAAATACATACCTGGCATCGGTGTTCCAGATGCCTGCTATATAGAAGGAATGCTCCAGAAGGGACATTACTTTGGTGTACTCCCACATGGTCTTTTCTATACCGACTTGAGCGACCAAGGATAGCGCTTGTGGTGGACTTGATCGAAGATTCTTCAAGACCTTGGACGTTTGAGAGTGACCTCTGGATAGTTTGAGAACTATTTTCGACAAGAAAGTTTTGTTGTTTGCGTCTATCTGTAATAAAGCAAAGTACACATTAGCAAAGGTATCTAAGTATATAATGAAAAAAAAAAAAATGTATTACTATACAATTCTAAGACATGCATTTTTTTTTTATTGCCCTTGTAGGCAGACGAGCATACGGCCCACCTGATGGTGAGTGGTTACCGTCGCCCATGGACTTCAGCAATGCCAGGAGCAGAGCCAAGCCGCTGCCTACCGCTTAATACTCTCCACAAGCCTCGTTTGAAGAAGGACATGTCATAGCGCTCGGGAAACATCATGGAGGGGAGCTCACTCCATAGCCGGATGGTACGTGGAAAAAAAGACCTCTGGAAACACACTGTGGATGAACGCAGTGGCTCCAGGTAGTATGGATGAACTCTACTCCGGTGGCGGGCGGTGTGATGGTAAAAACGAGATGCCGGTATCATCTCGAACAATTCCTCAGAGCACTCCCCATGGAACATACGCTACAAAATACAGAGGGAACCGAAGTTCCTCCGCAGACCCAAAGGTTCCAACCGATCCGTGATTACATGTTTTTATTGCTTTAAAAGACAAGCATACGTTCCAACTGATAGGGAATGTTCATTGGTGCTTGTGCATACCAGAAACATTAAGAGCTGAGTCGCTACACACAGCTAGTAGCAGTTGGTTAATATAATATATAAAAATAATGTATCGAAACTCTGGATCGCGCTATTGACAAATTCAATATTAGGGTCCATATATGTATATACAACATTGGGTCCACTTAGGCGGAAAACTCGCTCGGTGAAACACCTTCCATTTGAGGTCTCCTATTACGTATGACAACGAACATTAAGGACAACGGAAGAATTCATTCCTGAGTGGGATGGAATGTCACAAATAGATGTATGGGAACCGACTGACATAACATGAAATTAAATGTGTGATGAATTCTATTGAGGATACCTTGCGTTGGTTTTTTCACATTAAAATCAAGCTATTTGTGATCTCAGTCTCCTTAATAGGATTTTTACAAAACCTACAAAAGTAATTTTTTGTTTAGATGTTGTTTTCATGTTTTTTTTTAAACTAGTGTAGGTATTTTTAATATGTATTAAGATAAGTTGCACTTACAAATGGTCTTATTTTTCCAGAGGATATGAATTTAAGAGCTTCCAATAACAATGTTATGAGTTCCTCGGCTGTTTCACAATCTGAAATAGACATAAACCATTCTTAATCATTCATCATCATCATCATCATCATCATTTCAGCCTATCGCCGTCCACTGCTGGACATAGGCCTCTCCAATAGATTTCCAGTGTGACCGGTCCATTGCCACCTGCATCCAACGAGACCCAGCGCTTTTTACTAGGTCGTCGGTCCATCTAGTAGGTGGCCGTCCCACACTGCGCTTGCCAGTACGTGGTCGCCACTCCAGGATCTTTCTGCCCCATCGACCGTCCTCTCTTCGTGCTATGTGGCCGGCCCATTGCCNAGGTGGCCGTCCCACACTGCGCTTGCCAGTACGTGGTCGCCACTCCAGGATCTTTCTGCCCCATCGACCGTCCTCTCTTCGTGCTATGTGGCCGGCCCATTGCCACTTCAGTTCACTAATTCTACGGGCTATGTCAGCAACCTTCGTTCTTCTACGGATCTCCTCATTTCGGATTCGATCACGTAGAGAAATGCCGAGCATAGCCCCCTCCATAGCTCGCTGCGCGACTTTGAGCCTTCTAAAAAGATCCCTAGTGAAGCACCACGTCTCCGAGCCGTAAGTCATCACTGGTAGCACACATTGGTTGTACACCTTTGTCTTAAGGCACTGAGGTATTTTGGACGAGAAGACGTTGTGCAGTTTACCGAACGCTGCCCAGCCGAGTTGGATCCGTCTACTGACCTCTCTCTCAAAGTTGGACCTACTTAATCATTCAAGAAACTAAAATTATACACAATATCTTTATTTATGAATATCATGTACATTCATAATATATATTTTTTTAATAATGCACTGCTTGTTAAATATGGATGAATTGTGAATCCGAATTTGCCACTTATTTAGAGTTATTTACTGTGACGATAACTATCAGGGTATAGAATATAATAAGAACTATAGTAAGAACAGAATCGCGCTAACGATTTTTTACGATAATTTTGCTTGACCAGCTCCGAATAACATTTATACAATCTGTCTGACTGACTAACAACAAGTGCTCTTGGTGAATCTGCTCAGTGGAAGAACTTTTCTTTCTCGTTCTCTATAAATTAAAATCAGGTTTTTTTTTTCAGCTCTTAGTGATAATGGTTAAACATGGACAATTAACAATTACCATTGTCATAAATGGAGGGTTGCCAGGGCTTTTTTATTATTATTTTATTGACCTTGTAGGCAGGCTTTTTGAAGTCCTCGTGGCCTAAAGGATAAGAGGGTCGATGCATTCCTATCTAGCGATGCAACGGTGTTCGAACCCCGCAGGCGGGTACCAATTAACAAATGTTCACGATTGCCTTCCACGGTGAAGGAATAACATCGTGTAATAAAAATCAAACCTGCAAAATTATAATTTGCGTAATTACTGGTGGTAGGACCTCTTGTGAGTCCGCACGGGTAGGTACCACCAGCCCGCCTATTTCTGCCGTGAAGCAGTAATGCGTTTCGGTTTGAAGGGTGGGGTAGCCTTTGTAACTGTACCTTAGAACTTATATCTCAAGATGGGTGGCGCATTTACGTTGTAGATGTCTATGGGCTCCAGTAATCACTTAACAACAGGTGGGCTGTGAGCTCGTCCACCCATTTAAGCAATAAAAAAAAAATCGGTTATCTGTAAAGTCGGTTTACTGACGATAGTTGAACGTGACAACGTCATAAGAAAATACTGACGGAATGGTTTCATTTTTCAAAAGAAAATTTTAATTTTATTTGTTTGATAGATATTTTGTATGGAAAATTGACACCACATTCACTTTTCACTGAACTTCATACTTGACGTAAACATGTAAATGTATTATTGTATAGCAGCTGTCCACGCGGATGCATCGCTCACTCAAGTAGGAGAGAGACAGATGTCGAACGCTGCCGAATAGATATGTGTCGTTCGTTCAATTTTAGAGATTCAGATCAATACTGACCTGTTGACAAAATGATCCGGTTCGTACGACCCGTTCAGTCGAACGTTTAAAGGAACTGATAGTTCGATTGTTTACGTGAGATCAAAACAATTTAAATGCGTTATGCGTCATTATGCGACAACGAACGACTAACCGAGACGGGCGCGGGGCGAGACCCGGCAACCCGAAATGACCCGAATAACTGTATGATTCTTTTCTTCTGATTCGTAGGTTTTGTTAAACGAGTCGATCTAGTGAACGACTCATATTTTTTGAAGTGACCCTATCGTTCGCGCGGATTTTGAGACCCGGGTCGTTTGATTCGTTCGTTCGCGAACGACACATATCTACTGCCGAACGCGGAGGCCGATTGTGCCTCTTTGTCGCTCGTTGCGTGCTCTCGCTTGCACTTCCAAGACTTAAATGGAACGCCTCAGAGCGAGGTTACTCAGCATGAGTCATGTTTTTTCGTACGTGCAGCCGGCTCCATCGAATTATAAGACGTTGTCACGTCAAAAAAAAAGTATTTCATCTTAAAACAAAGATCAAGTCAAACATAATCATTACCGCGCAATATATCCCACAGTTTGTACGTGAAGTCATTACTCGAGCCGTTCGTGTTCATCCGAGTCATGCACTGGCCGAGGCTGGTCGTGTCCTCGTCGACACAGATGCAGCCGCCGGCCGGGCACTCTGCAGTGTAGGCATAGAGTTCAGTTTCGTTCAGCAAATCGGTGAGGCGTTTAGCGTTGTTCGGATGTTTCGCGTTTTGAATGTTGGCTCTGGAATGTTATAAGCGTCGGTGATTTAATATGCGATACGACCGGTGGACTGAGCGATTGAGGAGTGAATCAGATGAGCAGATACCAATTTCTCTTTTAATAAATACATATAGTACATTGTGCACCAAGGGAGAAAAGTTGGACATTGCATAGGTTGGATAGGATTGGACGTTGGATAGCTGATGAAACGTAGATATTGATAAGTATAGCTGCCAAACAGGTGCCATAATATTTTTTTAGATATCCTTGAAAGAAAAATTAACTTTCTAATTTTTTATTAGTTTTAATAAGTTTTAATCATCTACAACGACTTATTTATTCATTTTACGTAAAATATTGTTTACAGGGGTCTTACAACATTTTATTTTACAAGTAAAAATCAAGTAACACCTAGTCAGGTCATAAGTAATGTCACACAGTAAAAACTTTTCTTTTAGAATGCTGGGTTGGAAATTTTGGATGGAAATTTTTTGAATTCGAATTTCGAATTGCTCATGAAAATAAAAATGTATACTTTTAGAATTTTACTCATTTTTAAATATGGAGTGGACGCTTAAAGAAGACCGTGTTGCAGTTATTGCGTTGCATCGTTGCGGTTACGCGCCAATTCAAATTTTTAACATACTGAAAAATTTGAATATAACCAAAAGATTCGTTTATCGTACCATCAAACGATACAATGAAGACTCTAGTGTAGATGACAGGTCAAGAAGTGGTCGCCCTCGGTCTGTTAGGACTCCAGCAGTGATAAAAGCTGTGAAGGCGCGAATTCAAAGAAATCCCAAACGTAAGCAGAAACTGTTGGCCCTTCAGATGGGGTTAAGCAGAACCACGGTGAAAAGGGTGTTAAATGAAGACTTAGGGCTTCGGGCATATCGAAGAAAAACAGGACATCGTTTGAATGCTCGTCTAATGGACCTGAGACTGAAGAGATGCCGCGCTTTGTTGAAGCGGTACGCGGGAAAAAAATATCGGGAAATTCTTTTTTCGGATGAAAAAATTTTTACCGTAGAAGAGAGCTACAACAAACAAAATGATAAGGTGTACGCACACAGTAGTGAAGAAGCGAGCAACCGTATTCCGCGTGTCCAACGAGGTCATTTTCCATCCTCGCTCATGGTATGGTTGGGAGTTTCTTATTGGGGCTTAACAGAGGTACATTTTTGTGAGAAAGGTGTAAAAACGAATGCAGTTGTGTATCAAAATACAGTCCTGACGAACCTTGTGGAACCTGTTTCTCATACCATGTTCAATAACAGGCACTGGGTATTCCAACAAGATTCGGCGCCAGCTCATAGAGCGAAGAGCACACAAGACTGGCTGGCGGCGCGTGAAATCGACTTCATCCGGCACGAAGACTGGCCCTCCTCCAGTCCAGATTTGAATCCGTTAGATTACAAGATATGGCAACACTTGGAGGAAAAGGCGTGCTCAAAGCCTCATCCCAATTTGGAGTCACTCAAGACATCCTTGATTAAGGCAGCCGCCGATATTGACATGGACCTCGTTCGTGCTGCGATAGACGACTGGCCGCGCAGATTGAAGGCCTGTATTCAAAATCACGGAGGTCATTTTGAATAAACTTTAGTGTCATAAGAATCTATGTTTTGTTAAGTTCATTTTGGTATATGAATGGTTACATAATGAATAAACTTGTTTCAATTGTTTTACATTAAACATGTGACAGAATTTATGACCTGACTAGGTAATAGTAATTAGGCTTATGCATTTCAAAATATCTAAGCTGATAATTGAAAGCTTTGGGTATTTTTTACAAAAAACAATTATATTCAAATATCTCTAAATTGGTTAGATTTATGATAGGGTGTTTCATAGTCAAATCAGTCAGAAAGGATGTAAACTACACGCCCTTAACGGGAATAGGTCGACTTAACCTGTAACCCTGTATACTTTATGGTTATGTGAAAAGTGGTGTAACGGTAATTAGTAATGGTTTAAAAATACCTTATTTGAGCTGTCTCCAAATTGACAGTATTGAATCCAGCCGCAGTCATGTCAACTAATATCTGATTGAGATTGTGTAGGGCGCATACGGACTTCCACACAGCATTGCATGGACTAGCTAAATGTCCAACTATCACCTCCTGCTCCTAAACGAAATTATATTAAAATATATTTAAATATCTACATACTAATACCTTATACCTAAATTAGGTGAAGTAGGTAGGTTGACCGTTTATTTTTAGAAAAACAAAAATTGTTTTACAGGTATTTTTCCTGGTGATTTTACAAATTTCTTGTAATCAACATGGAAAAATTTAATGACTTGCCCCCATATATTCTACATAAAATCTCTTAAGACCAAAATGGAAGTTCATAAATTCTAATGATTTATGAACTCATCTCTTGGTTTGAGCAATTTGTGAATGAACAAAGTTTCAGGTAAGGTTTCATAATGAAATTTGCTGTAATTGAAAATAATTTGGCCATTGTAATAATAATTACCAATAGTACATATTATTCATTCTAACTAAGATGGGTATTTGTAATATTGATTTTATGGCTATCTCTTTAAAGTAATGTACTTAATTTTTTATGTCTGTCTACTATGTTTGAATTATTTGTGAATTACTCTATAATATCTGGTGCAACTTATGTGGCGGAAAGGGAATTAACAAGAAACAATTAGTAATACAATGTTATATGTACTTACAAAAAGCACTTTACAGCTAATATAAGGTGTCTGAAGGGTTTTCGTATTCCATTCACACTTTAACTGTGTTAGGCCGCTGTGTGGGATATTTAATAGTTCCTCTGAATTATAGGAACTGTATGATACACCGGTTATGATGTACTTGCAGTCTATTGTAATATTTATCTGTAAAGTAATCATATATCACATTAACCCTTTCGAGACTCCTGGTATTCCATATATACAAATATATGTTTTATGCGAGTAAATGTTTTTAATAAAGTTATGTTTGGTTCACACCAATACCACATAGTCCCTTTGTAACATAGGAAAACTTAAACATCTACAGTCCACCTCTTACCGCAATCATATTAGTGATATAACTAGAAGATGTAAGAGGTATGCTCAAAGTCAATTTCAGAGATATACAAATATAATATGTCAAGAATGTGACATTGCACTTCATTCAAAATGTTTTGCAACTTAGCTTATACCTAAAATATTTTGTAATTAAAGGTGAAAATTTTTCTAATGAAATACGTACTCAACAAAGGTTAACGATTGACTTCCACGGTGAAGGAATAACATCGTGTTATAAAAATCAAACCCACAAAATTATAATTTGTGTAATTACTGGTGGTAGGACTTCTTGTGAGTCCGCACGGAGGGGTACCACCACCCTGCCTATTTCTGTCGTGAAGCAGTAATGCGTTTCGGTTTGAAGGGTGGGGGGCAGCCGTTGTAACTATACTTGAGACCTTAGAACTTTATAACTCAAGGTGGGTGGCGCATTTACGTTGTGGATGTCTATGGGCTCCAGTAACCACTTAACACCAGGTGGGCTGTGAGCTCGTCCACCCATCTAAGCAATAAAAAAAAATCACCTACTACCATCAGGTCCTACCACCAGTAATTACGCAAATTATAATTTTGCGGGTTTCACTTTTATTACACGAAGTTATTCCGTCACCGTGGAAGTCAATCGTAAACATTTGTTGAGTACGTATTTCATTAGAAAAATTGGTACCCGCCTGCGGGATTCGAACACCGGTGCATCGCTTCAACACGAATGCACCGGACGTCTTATCTTTTAGGCCACGACGACTTATAAAATGTCTACTGTCTGTTCTGTTTATCTTATGATGCTATATTAATCCGGACTGCCCGACAAAAGTGACGAGGGGAGGTATAATATATATTCCCTGTAGCCAAGTGTTTGGTTTTTGTGGCCCTGTGAAGTGGTTTGCTTCTATGTACATCTGCAGAAAACATAGCTTACCGAATCAATACTCAAATTCTCTTCCTTAGCATAGTTCTCTACCAATTCTCCAATATCAATGTCTTCAAATCCACGAGACCCTTCGTATGTCACAATACCTCGGTTGAACTTTCTTTTATCTGGTTGAACATATAGTAACAGAGCTTTGATTTGATCTGTAGGCGTGGTTAGAATCCACATTGGCAGTGTTTCCTCTGTTGATTCTAAACGGTTAGAGTTGTAAAGGTTAGCAATTTCTCTGAAAATATGCAATAAAGGCTTTCATTACAAATCCTGATTGTTGCTGCCTTCAGGCTATTCAATTTGGACTAAGATACTTGGGACAGCTAGAACTTTTGTCGGCATTAGTAAAAAGAGCTTAGAGAGCATTATACTCTTCAAATAATCAATTACCATTAAAGATAAAATTCGAAGGTAAATTAGAAACAAAAATAGGTTGAGAAAGGGCCATAGTGGCTTGAGGATGCAGTCACTACCAGCCTCCCTATGGAATAAAGATACACAAACATCTTGGTTTATTTAACTATTGATTTGAATGTATATTTTCAACCCTAGCTACAGCCAATGAGCAAGCACTTAATCCAGGGTGAAAAATTTTATTTTAATATTTTTTATTTAAAAATTATCGTCAATATATATTATATGGCCTGCCTATATTTACCAATATAAATTGTATTGCCTATATTTTATATTTACATACCTTGCTTTATCTATGCTTATAGGACCATGGGATCCTTCCTCTTTAGTCCATAACTGTGGTTCATCAGATGAAAAGGTTTCGTCAAGTACAGTGTGTAAACTCAAATCTAGTTTGAGCGGTGATCCAGTTAAATCAAGATTTTCTAAAATGATGAAATATAATTGATATAATACTAATAGGCTATACGTCTAATATAATACACATGGACAAGTTAATGATACCCAGAAAACAGATGATGACTTGAGTATATGTTTGGCTTTGATTGTGTATTTTAGACCTATCTCATTAATATAAATTTCTGATCTTTATATGAAATACTTGTTTTTTTTTAACGGACTTACCAGATTGTTTGTTAGTGAATTTTTCCCCAGTTTCATCAATAAGCATCTGCTTATTCTGTGAAAATATTTTGCACAATGAGTGATAATTTTGGCAATAAACGTAGTAGGTAAACAATATTAAAAACAAGAAGACTTCATATTGAACATTTCAATTCTTAGTTTCTTTCTAGTGTATTTTATTTAATTGTAATTATAAAAAGTACAATCTTACTTTTTCATACACCATCACTACTTCCTTATTATCTTTCGTGTACATTCCAACGTAACTTGGGCTTTTTTGTTTTTCTATACTAAAGTATGTATTAGAATAATAATCTATCACAGGTATAAGTAATAAATCCATTACTAGAAATTAGATTCTAAAGTTAATATACAAATTATGAGGAATTTAGTCGTTGAATCTCTAAATTTCAAATTCAAAATTCGGATATTTTGATTTTGAGCATTGACTTTGACAGTAGTAGTAGTTCTATTCTATTTTCTTACTAAAAAGACTAAGGTATCATACCATACAGCCTAATCTTTTATAATGTGGAGTGAAATGAAATGAAATGAAGGTGATTAATTTGAGACAATAATCAACTGGGATTAAATGAAATGAAATGAGATGAGATAGATAGGGTAGATAGGGTGAAATATTATGTCATGTCAGCAAAATTGTGGATATTTATTGAAACTTTTTCAGTGGACTTTTGGAAGATCCTCAGAAGCTACGTCCAGCGGTTTTGTTTCATTTTCCCACGTTTGTGTATTTTTACAGATACTAATCAGTTAATAAACCATTGTTATTACATATTTAAACCTGGAGAAGAACTAAATAGACAAATTAAAACAACTCCGCTTCTCGCATTCCCGCCAAAAAGTCCTGACTTTGACATTTGACTAGATACTTCGATTTTTTCAATAAGAAAAGCGAAGGTATCACATACCACAAACTGTAATCTTATAATTTCACATTCCTTTTATGAAAAATAAAATGAATAGAAAAAAAATATTGAGGTGAAGTTGATTTATTTGCGACTGTAATTAATTAGGATCAAATTAAATGAAATTAAATGAGATGGGATGAAATAAAGTCTCTTTAAAATAGTATTTAGTATGTACTGATCAGTGAGTGGATTTTTTGAAAGAACTCGAAAACCCATGTCCAGTTATTTTGTTTGATTTGTGAGTTTTTGCAGAAGAGTTTATGAGTCGAAGTCGTTTAAGTTAAATTTTGTATATAACAGCTGCAAAGCCTTCAAAGCAGATCGTAGTACTTCTTCCCAGTAGAAAGGTGGTAGGTAGAAGGTGTTGAATGGGAAGAAATTAAATGATCTCTCAAATACTAAGAATTTATTGAAAATTGACTTTTTGTCAGATTCCAAGAATTCACGTTCAGCGCATACAATCTTATAACCTTACAGATAATGAAGGTTAATAGGCTATTTAAGTCACTATTATTATATACTTAGACCTGAAGACCACTGAATTAACAAATAAAATAATTCAAACAACTTGTTGTAACTATACTAAGAACTCATTCAGCCTTAACTCACTTTGGAACTCACATCTCAAGGTGGTGGCATCTACGTTGTAGATGTCTATGGGCTCCGGTAACCAGTCAACACCAAGTACCTAATAAAAAAAAAAAAAAAATCTTGACACCTTGGATTTCCGCCAAATATTCCCTGACAACAGCGAGTGACATCCACAAACTACATAGAAGTGACAGCTCTGCGATCAAAGCTGCTGATAGCCCGAAGGCAACTTGAAAGATATTAGTGGTGTGTAGAAAAGCACATGGCCCATCTGGCATTAAGAAGCTTCTAGAGTCCATAAACATACTGTCATTGTGAATATAGGCCATCCTTCCACTTTAGACCATGAAATTGAAACGGAAGCGGTACGCAGCTCTGCCCCCGGCATTGCTGGCGTCCATGAGCGACAGTAACCACTTACCATCAGTTGGGCCGTATGCTCGTCTGCCTGCTCGGGCAGTAAAAAAAAAGCGTATGATTATTTGTTTCAGAAATCAGGTAAAATGCGGTAGTTATCCGCACTGGTTTACTATTCGCAGCAATCATCTAGCTAATAAGACATTTATTTCTCTTCTCTGCTTTATTTATCCTACTTTTTTAATTTATTGCTTAAATGAGTGGACGAGCTCGTGGATCATCTGATATTAAATGGTTACCGGAACCCATAGGCATGAACAAGACATCACCTTGAGATATAATAAAAAATAATCGTAAACCTGAGTTTACCTGAATTGTCAAAGTAGTTTTAATTGTGTCTAAGACTCGCGAATACCGAAGAACATACTATTATCAAAAATATTTCATTATGTTTCATTCGAAATATTTGGCTTGGGCAAGTTATACTTTTAGCCATTACGGTGAATATCACAGCGAAGACTAGGTATATAAACTCTTTTTTTTATATTTATGTTTGAAAATTTACTGGTGGCCCAGAGGCCTTTCCAATTTTACCAGGGCAGGTGGGCGAGCAAAGGCTCAGCCAGGAGGGGTGGGATTTGCTAACAGCTACCCGAGCGCCTCAAAAGGAGACCTAACGACTCAAGAGTAGCTGTTTCGCGAATGAATCTACTACCGGATCGGAATCGCGACCCGCTGAGAAGATCCGACGAGAAACTCAGCGGGCTGATGCTTAGGTTAGGTTGCAAGTAAAGCTATTTGCCGAGTTCGACGAGTACGGTTACCGGGGTCCCTACTCCTAGTGTTAGAGCTAAAGGTGTCTAATGCAAGGGTTATTGTGTCTGATGGATCGGTAAGGACGTGTCTAGGGCGTCGAAGGTGACTGGCTCCTGCGTGATCAGGATTCGGTATTTAAATTATTGAGGGTAGAGAGAGGAGCACCATCTTGTATAGGGGACAAATTGAAAAAGTGCGTACCTATAAACAGCAAGTTCTTGTTGGAAGACCCATCGAAATAGCGCTAGTGTAGGAAGTGGATATGATATAATGAATATAGCAGCATTAAGCAGAGTGAAGTGTGCTCGATTGAAGTGAAGTATGTTAGTTAACTGTTTACGGCGCTATTTTTAAAATCCTTCCACTTGCTACTATGGCGCCACCTCAGTTGGCTCCCTTTCAGAGGACACTTTATAATATACTGAGATGCAGCTCCTTAATTTTATCCCCCATGATATAAACAAAATGTAACTCATGAATGCTGTCCGCGTCGAGATTTAACAGCTGTTAATATTCGTAATTGACAAAGGTAAATAAAACTAAGAATTGAATTCAATTACCGAAAAATACCTATATGAGAACCTTTAATAAAAAGGATAACCTTTGAAAACGTAGCTACGTGTAGCGATCTCGAAGGGCCATATCAAATTAGCGGAGTAAACCTTGGTCAGAAAGGTACTAAGCAAGTATTCCGGCCACTGAATTATATAGTTAAACACCTAAAATCAAAGTGAAGTTTGTTATTGAACCTGTACTGTAAATCTGTAAATTAATTAAAAGGTTTTCGCTTTAAACAGATCGACTGTTACGTCATTAGTTCGCGGTCGGGTTGTTTGGCTTTTATTGACTTTTATTAAAAATAAGTTAAAAACTAGAGAACGTTCGAAATGTTGTTTTGGATTTGAAAATATTATTTACGTCACAAGTATTCGTGTCTTTTCAGATATCATCGAAGAAAGATTTCTAATAATTATGTAACTCAATAACAATCATGTAGATTTAATTGTTTGTTATTGGTAAGGTTTTGGATAATTTGACACAGATCTTTACACTTTGGCTAAGGCAAGTAAAATCACGGGAGAGGGAGAGCTCATTTTCTCTCTCGGCGCCGTGCCGCCGCCGCCAAGCTGGGGGTCGGAGGAGGGCTTTCGTCCAGCTCTGGCCCCTGTGAGGAGGCAGTCTCCTCCCGCTAATTATCACGGGGTGATCTGAGAGGGTTGAGGCTGCACCGCACGCTACCGTCACTCTTGCGCGCGGGCACCAGGAGGACGCATTGTCGTCGTCGCTGTCGTCGCCGAACATACTGTGGAAGAGTAGCCCGGTCGGCGGTGTATCGCGCTCCGACCTGGAAGGCTGATTCTGGCCCAGCGGGGTATTCCGGAACACCAGCGGATCGCCCGGGCGACCTGGTAGGGCCTTCGTACCGCGGAGACTGGCGTTGTTGGTCGTCGACTATCGCCTCGACGACCCGTCGGTGGGGCATCCTCGGGGTGGCGTCGCGAGTCTGGTCATAGTGTTGACTGCGGGAATCCCCCTATTCTGACCAAATTCTGACCCCGGACGCAGATCGGACGTCGGGTGTAAGAGTGCAGGGGAGTCGTTTAGTGCGGTAGGGCCCTAAAACTCCTTGACCCGCAGTCTCCTCCCAACATCTATAGATCGTCAAGTCCCACGTACCTACTCGTACCACGTACCTCGTAGAAGGCTCGGCACCCGGCCCGAAAAAAAAGGCAAGTAAAATCATATAACTTCATCTGGTGTAACGGCGGGTCGAAATGTGCCTCCAAAGATATTTCCAACTGTGTGTGGTAGGTCTTTCTCGACCCACCAGCAATAGGTTAGATTACAATAGAGTAGCTTTGCGAAAACATATTGTATACAATTTATAGTATGTAGTTATCGGTGTCGAACTCTTAACAGACACCTGAAACAATCGGTTCGCACCAGCGAGAGGGACATAGTTTTCTTGGTACGTACCGGCTGAAAGTTCCGCAGCGGGCCAATATGGGCCAATGTATGTTTCGTGCTTTAATTATGATTCGGAAGCCTACCTATTGCGGTACTTGTACTATAGTCGATATGGTCAGAATTGGCACAAACGGGCATAGTTTTATGTAATCGAAATTCGACTATAATTAATTGAAATTATATATAAGTCTGAACATTATTATGGTTCTATTGTCAAAGACTATTAAGCTTCTATTATCTCAAATATTAAGTGTATAATCTATGCTTCTATTATATTATAATCACAGATTCCGCCAAGAATAACAATACATAATAGACAAATAGTATTAAAGACAAACAATATTAATTTATTTTCAAATTGACCTCAGACTTCATCAATAAACAAAAGAATATTGCTTGCGTGTGTCAAATGCATGGTAGTGTACGTAATGTATTTTTTTATTGATTTTACGTGCCTATTTATTATGCACAATTAAAAAAAAATTGCACTTCTTCTCTATATTCTCTATAAGTGTGGGAAATTTAATACTCCTCCGCGCAATTTTCGTAAAAGGGTTACAAAGTTTTTGCTTTACGTATTAATAAATAGATAAGT